TTCGGAGATGTCCGAAGCCCATAATCAAAACATAAGGCCTTCAATAAAATTCTAAACCTATTCAAAGGTTACCCTCGACAAAGATACAGTCTAACAACATTTAAAGAAGCATCTCAGGGAAATTTCCGTTCACTCCGAGCTTACACAAGTTCGAGCAAAAATTACATCTAGGACAGGTCTTGTTCGGACCTCCAAAAAGAAACTTATTACTACGTTTGATTCTGTGCTAAGGCATTAGAAATATTTGCAATCGTAAAAGGATGCTAAGATAATAGACTTACACATTGCCAAAAGAGAAATATTTTATATTCTGGAATATCTTTACAAATGTCCAACAAAATTGGACTCAACAAAATATATGTACAAAATACAAAAAACAAAACAAAATAATCCTAAGGTATCTACGCAAGATCATCACCAGGATCCGACTCCTCACCAGAGTTGTCCAGGCCTTCGAGTTCTTCGAAGCCCTCCAAGCCTTCTTCATCTTCAGGTTCAGCTAGCTTCTTGGCCTCGACCTCTAGTATTTTTGCCTCCTCGATCTCGGGCGATAGGTCGAAGCCTCGGGCATGGACCTCTTCAAGGTCTCCCTCTGGATAGCTGCCTCACGTACCCGACAGTAGTCTTTAGGCGAGCCTTGGTTGCCTCGACAACAGCCTTATACTGGTACACCATCTCTTCAGCATCGGCGAAGGTTGTGCGTAGCTGAGACTCTATAGCTTTACATTCATTACCAAGGGTGTCCCCCTCTACCAGAGCCGAGCTTAATTGTGATCGGAGTTCATCATTCAACTAGGACCGCTTGTCGGCCTTTCCTTTAGCTACCCGGATTTGAACCTCCACCAATGTCAGTTGTGCCTGGTCGGTTTCTTTCTCCGAAGCCAACCGGTCCATTTTGCTCTTCCAACCATCGAGCATGGCTTGGACCTCATTCATTTCAGCTCGGAGTAGGTCGATCCTGTCAATCTTTTGCTGAACTTGTGAGGTTTGGTCGTTAGTCGCCATGGCTAAGCCTTCATTACTAACTTCAAAAACCTTTACCTTTTCGACTAGATCGGCATGTTCCTGCCTCAATATGGAAGCCTCCTTCTGAGCCTCATCCAGCTCGGCCTGAAGGCCCTTGATGGCCCCTTCGTGTTGCTCGTTGAGAAGCATGTACATATCTATTTTCTCGAAAAGCTCCTTAACCTCAAGCTCAAACTAGTTAAACTCAGCCTAGTACCGAAGAAAGCTTTCGTGATGAAGTACCGAGGCCTGAAAAGGGAGACAAAAAAATGAGAAATATCAAAAACTATGTCAAAGTTCGGTAGAGCATAATGTTGCCTTACCCGATTCGGCGCCTGCTGCGATTTGTTGAATACACACGGCACGTCCACCTCATTCATTTTTGCTTGGTCTTCATTGGTCACCAGGAATCGGAGGTAGCTCGCTACTCCTATGGGAGTATAAAGAAACCGGGCATCCTCCGGGACAATGATGATTATCGACCTCTTACTGTCGGGATCTACACTCGGGGCTGGGAACCGGTTGATTAACTTTGGGCTCGAGTTCAGCCCGTCAACTTCTAAAGACGGATCCTTTCTCGACACTTCTAGGTCGCCCAGCCCGAAAAAGTCTTCTAAGACAGACGAGTCCAACCATCGAAAAAGAACGAAGAGGATCGTCCACACCATGAGCCCCTTCATTAGACCTCTCATTCCCTGCTTGTGCCTCCTTGAGCATGAACTCAGTATATGAAGGTAACCCTGAAATCTCTATTACGTCGGGCGCCTCCTTTAGAGCGTAGTCGGCATACCGGGAAGTCTCAACCCCAGTCTCCTCATCAACCCCATGGGTCTGAGGGAGATCGACCTTATAGATCTCCTCCTCAATAGCCGCCTGCTCCTCGGGAGAAGTTGACCCATGGGCTACAAAAATATTGTCTTTCTCGGGCTCATCCTTTAGCTGAAGAAGCGAGTCCGAGTCGGGTGCTCGAGAGCTAGAACTTTCCTTTGGCTTACGGGCAAACATTTTCTTTGGCTTCTTCTTTTTTGAGCTTGGGGAACTCGAAGCCTTACTTTTCTTCTTTTCCCCCGCTGCAACCCTGAGCTGCCCCAAAGCGGAGGGGTCAATGGACAAGGACACATCCTCGTCCCCTCCTGAAGGCCTAAGTTCAATGGTCTTAGGAAAACCTACAAAAAGAAAAGTGAAGAAAAGAGAGTAAGTACAATGCAAATGGGAGAGCCTGATGTTACCTATTCGAGGAAGGATCTTACCATGAGAACGGGCCTCCCACCGGCCCCTCGAGAGTTTGCGCCATGTGCGCTCGGAATAAGTCATCTATGAACAAATGCCCTCGACCCACTCTTTAAGCGGAGGGATAGAGTTTGGGACTCGAGCGACGGCTGCACCATCACAAGTACCAGTGAGAAAAAAAGAGATAAACGTAAAATGGCATTCAAAAGGAAACTGTACTTACGAGATGCATTCCATTTTTCGGGGAATGGCATAAAAGTCGGGGGGGGGGGGGGAAGGGTAAGAAGGGACCAAGTCTTTGATCTTCACCCTAACGAAGAGTCCCTACCAGGCTTGGTCTAGATCCTCATCGATACTCGAGAATGGGGCTTTGCTAGCCCAGCGTGTGAGCTTTATTAGTCCCCCTCAGAAGATTCGGGGACTGTATAGGCGGAATAGGTGATTTATGGTGAACCGACGAGATTTGGTCTTGCTCACTAAATAATGAAGAAGGATCAGGATCCTCCACAATGACGGGTAGATCTAACCGAGTCATACTTCATACCTTCTTCAGAAGTCCAAGATAACTGGGTCCACCGGGCCCAATGTGAAGGGATAAGTGTAAACACTTAGATATCCCTCCACATGGGTAGTGATAGCGCCCTCAGGCGCGGGACTACTATGTCCTTACCCGCCCAGTTGCAGTCCTCTCGGACCACGGGAAGGACATATTCGGTAATGGAGCATATATACCTTGATGCTCCTTCACCACGGACCGACCCTGCACCGATGAAGGCTTTTCGACCTTAAAGTCATCTGTGACTGAGCAACCTCTGGGGATGAACATTTTCAAGGGAGGCTCAGGAGCCGGTTCATCAGTAGTCATGCTAGGAACAGATGTCTCGAGGATGACTATATCAGGAGTGACCACCTCGAACTCAGCGGTCGGTTGGGAAGAAGAATAAGCGACTTGTTGAGGAACAAAATTGGATGTTTTGGCCATTGTTATCTGAAAAAGCTTGAAAGGTCTAAGAAAAGGTTTTGAAAAATAAAGAGTCAAGTGTGCTGATTTGGGTAAAGACTAGGTAAATAACCGGAAATTACAAAGAAATTTTGAAAAATGGAGGTAAAGATATGAATGTATGAAGAAGGTGAGTAACCGCTTTAAGAATCGAAGGTAGAATCTTGGTCAAATAGTGAAAAATAAACGAAGAATGAACGCTTTTATAGAGTTTTCGTGACCATTCAAAGGTGACCTGCCAATGGCTGACACATGTTCGAAGTCAGAATGACGCGACTGATGGCACATTTCGGCTTCCTAGTCATTTCTGTTGCGGCATATTAAAGAAGGAGGTGAAAAGCATCTGTCGTTTCTCATCGTTTCGATAAACCTCCTCTCTAAGAAATGAGGGGACTTTATACAGGTAAAATCGAGCCCATTGAATATCTTGGTTTTCCGGTAGGACAAACAGGACTGTAACGTGATCATAAGGAATCGAAGTCTGGGCGAAAAACCTCTTACATCAGGGATCGAGCAAAACATCCGCCCTCGGAAGCATCAGGGCCACATCTCCCAGGTTCGATTCGAGTCCCTCAACTTCGGAGTGCATTACCAAACGGCCGAACACAACTAACAAAGAGCCGTGACATCCATGCCCAATCGGATGTCACAGTGTAAATCTCGGCCCATATCAGCAGTGAATCACTGATTAGCATAAAGAAAGATTTTTATCCTTTTTTTAGAATTGTACTTAGGGAGAAATTCCCCTAATATATAATGGGGAAACTAATTATTCATTAGACACATTGTAAAACACATATCAAGGCAATATACTCATATTCTCTCTGTTATTCAAAGTTCTAACTTTGTCCATTAGTTCTTCATTAGCGTGACTTCGGGATTGGAGGCAAGCACTTCGTTAAGCCGTTATTGAGTCCGGGATCACTCTCCTTATTGATTTGGCAATTTATTACGTTTTTTATTTGCTTAATCTGACGTCATTTATCATTTATATTGAATTAATCCGCATATTCTTAAAACCATATATAAACTCAATTGTTACTCGTTTTTTACAGTAAACAGATTTATAGTACTGAAATTACTAGAAGCAGTCTAGGGAAAGGCTTTTCTAATTTTTGAGGTTTCTATATGCTGCTTACATACCTTTATTTCTCCAGTAAAGTGTACTAAACAAGACCAACCTTTTTAGTCAATTGAGACCCCTATATATAAATAATTTAAAAGACATTAAGCAAGTACTAGAAGTATCAACTACAAAAACGCATAATAAGAGTAGAATTGAGATATAAGAACTTCAGCATATAACGGGATAGCTAAGAAAATTGACTTTCGCTTAAGTAGGGAATGCCGAAAATGAGCAAAGTAATAAAATGAAAGACTTATGTGACTACATTTTTCTTGGATTTTTTAGAATCCAAGAACTAAAGTAGCTTTAGTTATTTGTGTTTTTGCGCTACACTAGGGCAATTTTTATTTATAAATCATCCAAAAATATAATTTATTCTAGGACTGACCTTGTAATTATAAATTATCCAATAAAGTCTATGCAATTTTTAGATTAAAACAGATCTCTTAGATTCTCCGTTACACTAGGAGGGCACAACTCATTCTCCTTTTCTTTCAAAACCCTAAACCCTACCGAAACCTTCAAAAATATATAAAATATATACTAACATATAAACCCTTCCTTGCCGCCTCCATATGTGAGATAAAAATAATTTAGGTATATGTTCTCTTTTTTGCTCTGAACCCTAGGATTGTGACCATGAAACAATATCAAAGAAGAAATCGTTCCCTTCAAGCTCAAAACCCGCGAATTCCAGATCTACCCAACGAAATCACTATCGCTATTCTAGCAAAATTACCAGTGAGATCCCTCTTAAGATTCAAGAATGTTTCTAAGCAATGGCAATCTTGGATTTCAAACCCCGAATCGGATCTCTCAAAACAACGACGAAGAAGCTCAAAAGCGATTTTCAATCAAAATGGAGGCTCCTTTCACTTGATAAATCCAAAGGAGGATGACAAGTTCAACTTCCAGACTCTTGAGAATCCTTTATCGGAAAGCCGTATTTACAAGGATAAGTATTCAAAGCCATATCTAAGATTGTTGGGTTCTTGTGATGGTCTCGTACTCATAAGCGCGAACAAGCATATTTTCTTGTGGAATCCTGCTACTCGATTTTGCAACAAAGTGATTGAACTCCACCTATTGACAAGCGATGAACATGTTATAAGTGCTGGGGGACTTTGTTTCGGCTCTTCCAAGAATGAATACAAGGTACTTTTCTACGTATACAATAAGTCCGTCTGTGATACTGATGGTGCTTATGCTTTGGTTGCAAGTCTTAAAGACAAAAAGTGGAGACGCATCGATTGCCCCTGTGATATGTTCTCGGCCCGTGATGGGATCACAATGCATGGGCGGCTTCACTCTAGGGCAAATCTGGACAACAACTATTTTAACATGCACGAGAATTTAGTCGGAAGATATAAGGATGAGCATTTACGTTGGAATCCCGATAATGATAATGAACCAATGGATGGTGAAGAAAGTGGTGAATCAAAGTGGCAAAATCACCGACTTTTTGGTCCTCGTAAAGAGGTAATTTGTTTTGACGCCATCTCAGAGAAGTTCCACTCGTTATACAAAAACGATAACGCTATAGTTGGTTTAGGAGTTTTAAATGATTGTCTATGTATGACTTGCGTAGAATTTGATAAGCGTCTTGAGATATTGGTCATGAAAGAGTATGGAAGGAAGGATTCATGGACATCGTTGTTTGTCATAAGGAATTCAGAAATAACGCGTCCCTACATATTTTATCGGTCTCTTTTCATGTCGAATAATGGAAAATTAGCATTGATAGTACGCCATAATGGTGTTGTTGCATACTATCCTAAGAATGATAGTATGCAAGACATTCTTGAGCTCAGATACCAAAATGATATATCAGTCATTACTTACGTGGAAAGCTTGATCTCACCCATAGAATATTACTGGAACGAGGAGCAACACATAAAAGGTCTCTATGATTTTTTTTTAGAATGTTTTACTAGTAATATGTTTGAAATGACAAATGAACAATTTTGTTTTTGTTTTTGTTGTGGTGTTTGTTATTATTATTTTTTGTTGGTGCTTATTTAGCTCTTACTTTAGCCTTGTGTGAGTATTTTCTTGCTTGATATTTATGCCAAATTAATGAAGATAGAACATATGTCCTTTGTTCGTACAGACACTTTAATTTGTTATAGTTAACCTGTTGAGATTAATTTTCTGGACCCCTCCACGCCTTCTTTTTCTTTCACAGATTTTGACTTTATTTATTTGATTGTCTTTTTCTCGTTAACATATAGTATTTTTAATGTCAACAGCAAATGAGATTAATACGCATTAGCTAGCCTGTTTAAAATTGTTGAATTTGTGTTCAAAAGATCGATCTTTAATTAGGTGTCTAAATGAAAAACGGGAATCAAACGTAGAGGGTGTTTGGCTAAGCTTATAAGCTGGTCACACTAGCTTATAAGTACTTTTTGGCTTATCTACGCGTTTGGTAAAGTTAAAAGTGTTTACAAGCCAAGTGTTTATAAGTCAAAAATAAGCCAAAAGTCATAAGCTGGTCACCTCTAGCTTATCAAGTTTTAGCTTATAAGCATTTTAAGTTTGACCAAAATTTTTACTGTTTTATCCTTAAAATATTCCTTTTTAGAACAAACTCCTACATCGATACTCACAATCCCAAATATTTTTTTCAACCTAACCCCCCCTCCCACCCCCCACCCCCGGGCTCTTCAGGACTGCAATTCTCGTTGACTATTTAAGATAAGCAAATTCTCTATATCTTTGCATATTTATACCTATGTGATTGTGTATTAATCTTTGAACTGTATGTAAGAGATGGGGACATATCAAATTTTTGGTGTATTATTTTCTTAGTGTTGTGGTGATAAAGACAGTGTTTGTTTCTCTTCAGATATTTTGTCCTATTTTTATTTTTTACTGAGAAACTTTTGTCAATTTATTAATTATTATAACTTATGATTATATGCATATCATAAAATAAATTATATCTATCAAAAAATTATCTTATCTAAGCACAATTGTATTTAAAATAAAATGACAAATAGAATATTTTGTATTTGAATCAATCTGGAATCTAAAATTCTAAAGAAATTACGTCCTTATAAGTGTAAACAGTTCTAAGGTTATTTAAGTCATTTTAACAAAAAAAGAGCTTATCAGCACCTTTTTATCAAATACTGTAGCAATTTTTCATCAATTTCAGCACTTGTACCCAAACATGTAACTGCTTATTTATTAAATCAGTTTCAGCACTTAAAAGTGTTTTTTAGCACTTAATGCTTATCAGATACTTCAAATCAACTAATCCAAACGGGCTCGTATTACGTTTCATAAGTCTAATGGAGTAGTTATGAAATTACAGCAAAAGCAGATCCATGATTTAAAGTTTATAAATTTTGAATGCTAACCTTTTGGAGAATAATGAAATAAAAATTTTATGACAAATATAAGATTTTGGCAAAAATTATTGAATTATGCGGATCCCATACCATAAACAGTAAATTCGACCCTGAATAAAAGAAGTTCTAAAGAAGGCACATTATCTCATTATCAAGATTCTTAATTAAGATAAAATCAGGAAAATTAATTATGTTTTATATTGTCAGGTATCAACCTAAACACAGAATAAATTTAGGATATTCTAACATAACTAGTTGATTTTCTTGACTTTTATATCACTAAAGATTTTCAACACGTCCCTCTCAAATTCATGTGCAAACATGGTAACCTTCGATTACCATTTTTCAACTTAAACTCAAATGTTCTTCTCAAATTTCAATAATATTATGTCTAACAACGGCTATAAAATTCCCGAATATGACAAATATGGTCCCTTTATTTTTTGGAGTAGAACTAAAATCATCCATTAGATAGACTCTTTAGCAGTTTTTGATGTCGGCGACGGCAATGTAACCGTAAAGAGAAAAGGAAAAAGAAGCTAAGAGAGAAAAGTAGGGTAAAATAAAGGGTTTTCAATTATGAGCCTATCTGCAGCTCCTTGAGCATTACATATAGGTTCCACTATTCACTACAAAACAAAATCCTATAACCACTTCTGACAGGGACTATAAGTGCCAATTAAAGATAAATCTATGGACCTAATTACAATTTACGAAACTTCCTATAAGAAACTTATAGGGACTAAACTGTTCACTAAACAACTTACAACTTATCACCCTATAACTAACTTCTAACGGCTAGGTACAACTCTTTAGGCTTCCAGTACATGTCACGCAAGCTGAGGCCATTTCTCTTTTGCATCAGTTCCCCTCCCTTGAAAGTTTCCTTGTCCTCAAGGAAGGAAAAAAGGAAAACGGGTTTTCAGAGCTGAGTAGTCCTCCCATGTAGCTCGATCTGGGGGCAATTGGTCCCATTGAACTAGAACCTGTGCCACATCCTTGTTCCCCTTTTGGATCATACGCCTCTCCAAGATTTTATGTGGCTCGGGACAGTAAGGGCTTGACAATTCAACTATAGGAGGATGGGATGTTGTTTTTGGCAGCTCATAACATTTCTTGAATTGGGACACATGAAAGGTTGGGTAGGGCAATAGTCGAGAGAGAAGGGACAGCTTATAGGCAACATTCCCTATCTTTTATAGTACTTGATAGGGCCCGTAATACTTAGCTGAAAGCTTAGAAAATTACCCTCCTGACATGGTGGCCTACCTATATGGTTAGATTTTGACATATACCCAATCACCCTCTTTGAATTGCCTGTTTGACCTATATTTGTTTGCTTGATTTTCTATCCTCTGTTGAGCTCTCTTGAGGTGGTATTTGAGGAGTTGTACCTTGAAATCTCTAGTGAGAAAACTTCTGTCTACTTCCTCCATGCTTGAATCTCTAGCAGCATAAGGTAAGTGCAAGAGGGAGGTTGACCATATAAGGCTTCATAGGGAGTACATTGAATGGCAGAATGGAAGGTGGTATTGTACCACCACTCAGCTGCCCCTAGGTAGTGTATCCAATCCTTTTGAGAATCTGAGCAGAAACATCTCAAGTAAGTCTCCACACATCTGTTAACTACCTCAGTCTGGCCATCTGTTTGAGGGTAGTAAGCTGTGGAAGTGTTAAGGCTCACCCCTAACATGGCAAACAATTCTTGCCACAGCTTGCTTGTAAAGATGGGATCTCTATCACTACAATGTCTTCTGGCAGTCCATGTAGCTTATAAACTTGCTCCATGAAGATCTTGGCCAGTTCATTGGCAGAGTAAGGGTGAGATAATCCTATAAAATGAGCAAACTTTGTGAGTCTATCCACTACTACCCAAATTACCAATTTCCCTTGAGACTTACGTAGTCCCTCTATGAAGTCCATACTTATGCTGCTCCAGGCTGCAACAGGTATTTTCAAGGGCTGTAGCAACCCTAGGTAAGGGGCATTGTCATATTTGTGCCCTTGACATGCATCACAACCCTTCACAAGTTCCTGAATATTCTCCTTCATTCCCTTCCAGTAAAATAGAGAAGACACCCTATTGTAAGTGTTGTCCATTCACTAGTGTCTTCCAATTGTAGAACTGTGCCACAACTGTAAGATCTTTTTCCTCAATGGTAGGTCAGGTCCTACCACCAGCTTGCCATTCTTTCTAAGTTGTCCATGTATGAAGGTGTACCTCTTATCATGGGAACATCTATCCTTGAGGACCTGGATTGTTGACTTTAGCTCCTCATCTAACTCCCAGCTCTTCGTAATTGCTTCCAACAGATCAGTTCTCACAGTTGAGAGTGTCATGGCTGACCACTCCACTAGTGGAAGTCTGGAGAGTGCATTTGCAGCCTTGTTTTCCTTCCCCTTTTTGTACTCAATCTCAAAGTCATACTGCATCAATTTAGTTATCCATTTCAACTGATTGCCTGTGTGCAACTTCTTCTCCAACAAAAACTTAAGAGACTTTTGGTCTATTTTAACAATGAAGGGCTTTACTGTCAGATATTGAGACTACTTGTTAACTTCCATGACCAAGGCTAACAACTCCTTGTCATAAATCAATAAAGACTGGTGCTGAGTAGCCACACCTTTATTGAGGTAGACAATGGGTTGGCCTTGCTGCATTAACACCGCTCCAATACCTACATTACAAGCATCAGTTTCAACTACAAATGTCAAAGAGAAGTTAGGCAGGGCTAGCACAGGTGCTGTAGTTAGGGCCAACTTCAGCTTATCAAAGGCTTTCTCTGCCTTCTTGGTCCAGTTGAAACCATCTTTTCTGAGGAGATCAGTAATGGGTTTGCTAATGACCCCATATCCTTGTATAAACCTCCTATAATACCCTGCCAATCCCAAAAATCCTCTAAGTTGGGTCACGGTTTGTATTTAGGCCAATTCTTCATAGCCTCTACCTTCCTATGATCAGTTGAGACCCCTTGTGAAGATATATGGTGACCCAAGTACTCCACTCTTTCTGCCCCAAACACACATTTTCTCTTCTTTGCTAACAATTGATGTTGTACCAATAATTCAAAGGCAACCTTGAGATGTTGTACATGTTCCTCCAAACTTTTACTGTAAATCAAAATGTCATCAAAGAATACCAGAATGAACTTCCTCAAATGTGCTTGGAAGATGTGATTCATTAGCCCTTAGAAACTTGAAGGAGCATTGGTTAGCCCAAAAGGCATAACCAGATATTCATAGTGCCCAGAATGTGTTCTAAAGGCAGTCTTGGCTACATCTTCAGGTGCCATTCTGATTTGATGGTATCCTGCCCTGAGGTCTATTTTAGAGTATACCTGAGAACCTCCTAATTCATCCAAAAACTCCTCAATAATAGGGATAGGGAACTTGTCATTGACAGTCATCTTGTTCAAGGCTCTATAGTCCACACACATCCTCCATGTTCCATCCTTCTTCCCCACTAAGACCACAGGTGAGGCATAAGGGCTTGAACTGTGTTGTATTATCCCTTGTCCTAACATTTTCTGCACCATTTTCTCTATGACATCCTTCTGTACAATGGAGTATCTATAAGGTCTAGCATTGATTAGGGAGGTACCCTCCAATAAAGATATGTGATGATCAAACACGCCTCTAAAGGGGGGCAGTTCAGTTGGTTCCCCAAACACTAGTTCATATTGCTTCAGGACCTCAGCAATTGGCCTTGGTTCTTGACTACCTCCCAACTCTAAAGCACTTGATTCTTCTTCATTGGTACCTCTAACCTTTACCATGAAGGCTGAATCCCTTGCAAAGTCAACAACTTGCCCTCATGTTCAAACTCCATTATCAACTTTTTGAAATTGAACTTGATGTCATCCAATGGATACATCCACTGAATGCATAACACAATGTCACTGCTTCCAATAGGAAAGACCAGGAAGTCCTCTTGAAATACTGCACCCTGCATGAGCCATTGAAACCCCTTACATAATTTCTCTATATGGACCTCCCTACCATCAGCTACTTGGACCAACTGTGGCTTTATCTTGTTGATCTTGCACCCCAGCCTTTCTGTTGTATCCTTATCAATGAAATTGTGGGTAGATCCACAATCAATAAAGATCTCTAATGGTTTCTGCTCAGTGAACCCTCTAAGCCTGAGTATTTGGTAGCCTGGTGTGCCATTGAGGGCTTGCAATGAAATGACATAATTCTCAGTTACCTCCTCTACCACTTCTTCAGGGATTTCATCTGCTTCTAAAGCCTCTTCCTCGTCTGGTTCCCCCTCTTCTACCTCCTCTATAGGTCCCAGCTCCAATGAATAGATGTGCCTTTTAGCTTTGCATTTATGGCCAGGGGTAAACTTCTCATCACAAAAGAAGCATAAGCCTTTTCCCTCTTCTCATCCATTTCTGCAGGAGTCAATCTTCTCCTTCTATTGTTATCCATTTTGGCCACAGGGGTTTTCTTGAACCCTGAAGAGCCATATTTTTGCCAGCTGGGAGAATGAAATCCACCTGATCCTCTACCTATAGAAGACCCTGAGCTCAAGCTTCTAATGGCCTTATTTTGAGCTGCAAAATTGGCTTCTTACAACCTAGCCAAGTAGTAGGCCTGAGGAAAGGTGCTTGGGTTCCCCACTCTCACAGCATTGCTCAATTATGGTTTAAGGTTGTTGAGGAAGATACTAATGGCATGTCCAGTTGATATGTCCAACCTAGTCATGACACTGTTGAAGGCTTGCTGGTACTCCTTCATAGTTCCTGTGTGCTTAACAATCATTATCTCAGTCATGGGGTCAGTGTACTCTGCACCAAAGCTATCACATAATGCCCAAATGTACTCATCCCATGAAGGAAGAGGCGTTTGGCCTCTACTTCTCATGTATCCAAAATGCCACTGCAAGGCATCACCCTCAAAGTGCATAGATACTAATTTCAGTTTCTGTTATATTGTAACATCTTCCTCGGAGAAAAACTGGTCCACTTTATACAG